GAAACTGTGTTAAGGCCGAAAAATTGTCCCATGAGAGAAGACCTACGACACGTAGATTACCTCATCTCATTGTACAAAGCCCCAAAGTTGTTTAAATACACCTGCATGTGCTTTAAATGATTGGCATGAAATCAATGTAATACATTTTTGTTTGCTGTTCTTGGCCTGTGTCCCTGTTGTCTTGAATGGGGTAGTGTTTCTTTTAAAGGCTTCTTTTGCAATTCAAAGCACGGTTAAAATGTTACTGTCGTCTTAACTACAACACTGAGCCATGTAATAGTTTGACTAACCGTGATTTGCTTAATGTGTTAATTTCAGGATTTATATGCATTTATAATTATTTTCTTTTATAGTATTTTATAATTGCTCTGCTTTCTTAAAATCAACGCATTTCAATGTTACTGGTTTCATTGTGCAAGATGCATTATTGCATGTTATATTCCAATCAATCCAAGAATATTTTTTCCCCACAATGAATTTCATGCTCCACTCAGAAAAAAATAGAAGGAAAAAAAAAACAATCAGATAAAATGAAAAAAGATTGAATTTATAGCATATTACCCAGCTTCTTAGTAAACATTAAATCAACTTCCTAAGTTTTTTGTTTTTTTTTATGTTTTCTGGTTTCTGTACAAGATTCATAACTGCACATTATGCCAATTCAAAAACCTTTTTTCTTTATAATCTGTCATTATCTAATGCCAATTTGCTATGTTCCAATCAATTCCCAGAAATAAACATGTTAGATAGCTAGCTAATAATAATAATTAATATTAAATTACCAAAAGTAATTATTATTTTTATTTTTTTAACTTGGGTTGCAAATTATTATTTTTTTTTCATTCAATTTTTAAATAAATAAATAAATGTGAACCTAGAATAGCAAACAATCCACCTAATGTCAGTCATATATTCCACTATAAATATTTAATGTTCCATTAAAAATACATCATTAATAATAATAATAATAATAATAATAAATTAACAAAAGTTATTATTATTATGTTTTTAAGCAAATTGAATATTTGTTCATACAATTTTTGCATTCATAAATAAGTAAACAAACAAACACATAATTAATTAAATACAAATAACATAGTTCCAGTTTTTCGATAACTTTGACCATTTATGAGGCATAAACACTGGCCTGTCAACTCAAGCGTAAAAAGCCTTCGACTGAGCAATCACAGCAGTGCGATGCTTCCTCATCCACCACTGACCTGTCTGGAGTGGAGAGATATTTCTGTTTCTGGAACTTCTTCTCCAGGCCCAGCAGCTGCAGCTCAGTGAAGATGGTGCGGCTGCGGCGGGGTTTCTTCAGCCGCGGGGTGCTGTGCTCTGTCTCTGATTCGCTGCTGATGCTGACGAGCGTCTCGCTGGCTGTGGGCTCGGAGGTGAGCGGATGCTGGGGTGGCAGAAGGGGCAGGTGAGGAGACAGCTGAGAGATCTGCGGGAGGCTGCTGGGCTGCTGGTGTGTGATCACAGACAGGAGAGGGTACGATCTCAGAGGAGCAGAGCCTGCCGGAGCAAACAGGCAACAAAATGCTCTGCTTACTATTGATAGAATTCAAATATTGATTTATTTTGCAAATACAATACAAATATTTCAATATTTCAATATAAATGTCAATACAAATATTGAAATATTGATATGTTTGTTGGCAGAAATCAGTAATGCTGTGCATTTTGAGGAGCTGTTCTGATCTTATCAGTTCGATTAAATATTTATAGCATATCAAAATTGCTCTGCTTTCTTAAAGTAAACATAAAAGCAAATTCCTACTTGCTTTTTTTAATGTTAATGATTTCATTCTGTAAGATTCATCGTTTCACATTGTGCAAACTTCAAAAACATGTTTCTTTGTAAACTTTCATTATCTACTGCCAATTCGGAACCAAATCAGTTCATCATTGCACATTATGACAAAATTAAATTTAATACATTTACATTCTTTCATTATCTAAAACCATTTTAGTGTGTTCCAGTCAATTCCTAGAAATAGAAAATTATATATATATATATAT